TTCCCCTGCCTCTGCGAGACCCCGGAACCTTCTCTGGCACAGGCAAGGACAAGGTGAATGTCGAAAATTGGGTCGCATTGTACGAGCGCGTGAGCGAGTACTATAGATGGGACCCCACGTTGATGCTGGCCAACGTTGTATTTTACTTGCGGGATGCGGCACTAACCTGGTATGAGACTCACGAGTCGGAGTTGACCAGCTGGGACATTTGCAAACTGAAGCTTGTCGAGTTGTTCAGCAGGCCGTTTGGGCGACAGAAGGCCACGAGGAAAGATTTGGAATGTCGCGTGCAGACATCGACGGAATTGTATGTATCTTATATACAGGACGTATTGGGCCTCAGTCGAAAGGTGGACGAGAACATTAGCGAAACTGACAAAATCGCCCACATACAATAAAGGGAATTGCCGACGACGCCTTTAATCTGTTGATCGTAAAAGATTGCGCCACCGTCGACGCGGTTGTGAAGGAACGTCAGCGCTTCGAGCACTCCAAGAACCGCCGCGTAACTCGCCAGTTTGCGCATCTGCCTAATACTGCAGCCACTTCGACCTCCGAAGACTGCCCCAAGTTCACGCAAGCTACATCATCCGAAAATGTGACCCGAATCGTTCGCCGCGAACTCGAAGCAATGGCTCCTGCAGCCATCGCTTCCGATGGCCTTCGAGATAACGCGTGCACCGTCTCCCTCATGCAAGCCGTCGTTCGCCAAAAAATTAGCAAATCTCGGCATCGCACCTGTTTGTGCTGTTCGTACTACCGAGAGTTCGGCTTCGGTTAACCAGATCCTGGTGTACCCTTCACGCTACCCTTCCCGCTACCGGGACCATGCTGAATGGAGAACGTCGGATGATAGACCAATCTGCTTTCACTGCTCTCGTGCCGGACACATTACGCGCTACTGTCGCAATCGTTGAACGTCCAATTCATCCTGGAACACTGGGACATGGCGTAGCTTTGAAGGCAACTCTCGCCGGTTTTCTCCTCTGTACGATCCCCAGACTGCTGCTATAAACGTTCAGGGCCGAAGGTTCAGCCGGTCACCATCACCCCAATGCCGCCAATCTCTCTAGCTGGTGATTCCTCGATCCAGGTCCCCTGCACGACCTGGGCCCTCAACCTCGGGAAACTGGACGATGCAGCTCCCGGAGGTGACGCTGCATTAACGACCCGGTCTACAAATCCTCAGTTGACGATTCCTACACGCCGCAATATTTTGGACCCTTTGGTAGATGACGTAAACGTTACAGCCCCTCATAGACACTGGCGCACAAATTTCGGTCATGAGCGCTGCTCTGTGTATTAAACTGCGAAAAGTGATCAGGCCTCCTCTTAAGTGTGCAGTAATGCTTGCCGATGGGAGCACATCTACCGTTCTTGGCATGTGCACCTCTCGCGTGTGTGTTGCAGGGTGCCAGACCGTCGTATTGTTCACTGTGCTTGAGCAGTGCCCACATGACGTGATTCTTGGTCTTGACTTTCTCTCTGCGCACTCCGCCCTTATCGACTGCTCGACGGGCCTTCTTCAGCTGGAAAGGTCTTTTGACGCCGCTGTTGCTCGTGATGCTCAAAGTCGCTTTTGTGCCACGGAGTTTCTGCATCTTCTGCCACGAGCCGCTACTTACGTGCAGCTCATGTGTGATCCACCTGTGCGCGATGGTGAATAGGTCGTTTCACCAATTACCGACGTTGTGCTAAAGCATACCATTACTCTCCCGCACACCGTGGTGAGAGTACGCCACAACCAGACCTATTGGTCTCTTTTGAACTTTGGTTTCTCCGCGCACGTGCTGCCTGCTGGTATCAAACTGGGCATCGTGTCGTCGTTGCAAGAGTGTGATATCTCTGAACTGTCAGCTGAGCAACTTACTCCGCACGTCAACTTGCTCACTGCGCCCAACCTTTCAAGCATTGACATTGCCAAAATGATAGCGCCAGATCTTTCACCCTCCGTTGCACAAGACCTCCACCGTCTCTGGACATCCTACGCGGACATATTCAATCTTCACTACCGCCCTTTAGGCCAGACATCAGTTGTGACCCATCACATCAACACCGGCGATGCCAACCCAATACATCGCCGCCCTTACCGTGTATCCACTGTCGAACGCTCTGTCATCCAAAAGAGGCCCAGAAAATGCTCGCCAAAGGCGTCGTCGAACACTCTTCTAATCCGTGGCCATCCCCGGTCGTGCTTGTCAAGAAGAAGGACAACACGTGGCGGTTTTCCGTCGACTGTAGACATCTCAACAAGGTCACTGAGAAGGACGTTTACCCCTTGCCAAGAATAGATGACGCCCTTGACTTCCTTCGTGGCGCAAAGTTTTTCTCGTCCATTGACCTTCGATCTGGTAATTGGCAGATCGCTGTTGACACACGGGACCGAGAAAAAACAGCATTTGCAACCCCCGATGGGTTATATCAATTCAAAGTAATGCAGTTTGGGCTTTGCAATGCGCCAGCCACCTTTGAACGCATGATGGATTCCCTTCTGTGCGGCTCAAGTGGTCGACTGCTTGTGCTACTTAGATTACATAATTGTTTTTTCACCGACGTTTGCGAGCCATCTTGAGCGACTGTCCAGTATTCTCCAAGTATTCCGTGACGCTGGTCTCCAGCTGAACTCCTCCAAATGCCGTTTCGGCCATCACAAAATAACTGTACTTGGTCACCTCGTTAACGCATCTGGAATACAGCCATATCCGGACAAATTTCGCGCAGTGACTGAATTTTCCGCACCCTCTTCTGCTAAGGACGTCCGGAGCTACCTTGGTTTGTGCTTCTATTTCCGCCGCCTAATCCGGAATATTGCTGATAATGCACAGCCTCTCACCAAGCTTCTTAAAAAAGACGTCCCGTTTACCTGGAATTTGCCTCAAAGTGCTGCATTTTTGGCGCTCATTGCAGCCCTCACGACTACGCCAATATTAGCCCACTTTGATCAGACCGCACCTGCTGCTCAAGTGCGCAGTGTTGTCGAGACTTTTGACCCCATTCCGGAGTGGCTTCCCGTTCTTGACGCTTGGGTGTGTTTACCTGACTTCTGATGAAGTATGTTGTGTGTACTTTACTGGTGATAATTTCATACATTAAAGAAAAAAAATACCGTCATGCTAGCTCAGTCAATTAGAGCGTCGTGCTAATAACGCGAAGGTCGTAGGCTCAATCCCTGCGCAGGCCATTCTCTTTTTCTACATTTTTATAGTTATTTTTCTACGTATGCCTAAGGTGGAGTGTCCAGCAGGGTATGGCCCAAGAGTATCAAAGTAGAAAATAAATGGCAGTATATCCACGGAGTGAATGATGGAGAGTGGGGCGAAGCAATCGTCCATCCATGCGTCCGTCTGTGTGACCGTCCATGCGTCTGTTCGTGCGCCCGTCCCTGCGTTCGTTCATGCATCCGCCCCTGCGTCCTTTCATGCGTCCATCCATGCATCTGTCTGTGTGTCCGTTCATCCACCTATTCAACATTCCAAGTCCCACCATCTCGCTTCTTTTTATCATGTATTCCCCATATAGAAGCACTGCCATTCAGTGGACATTCCAAGGACTAAACTAGAGGTGGCACATGCACACTTTCCTACGGCTTGCGCTTCGGGTCTACTTCCCACTTTCAACCACCTTGAGTTCATGGTATATACTAGTTCACTGTATTCATGGCACTGCGGCCCAACGCTCGCTAAACCTTTCTAAAACCAAGGAGGTTACGCCCAGCGAGTATAACGTAGCAACCTTTTCCTGTCAGATAGTGCTCAATATACATGCCAGTGGCTGCTAACGTGAAATGAGAGACAGGAGGATTCAGCTTTTAATTTCTTACGGCTTGCGCTTCGTATCTGCTTCCCCCCTTTAACCACCTCGAATCCATTCATGGTATATACTAGTTCATTGTATTCATGGCCCTGCGGCTCAACGCTCACTAAACCTTTCTAAAACTAAGGAGGTTACACCCAGCGAGTATAATGTAGCAACCCTTTCTTGTCTGATAGTGCTCAATGTACATGCCAATGACTGCTAATGGGGATCGCAGCGTGCGTGTTGACTAAAAGCCGAATGCTCCTGTCTCTCATTCCCCATTAGCAGCCATTGGCATGTACATTGAGCACTATTTTTTATTGTTAAACAACGCACAGAAGAAATGTCTCACCGGCACCACCTTGGAGGTCAAATGTTATACCTATTTCGGGTATGTGCCACTAGTGGTTACGTACTACGAGGGACGCACAAGCCACGTCATAAGGAGCTTCGCCCCTAAAAGAGCTAATATTCGAACTGTCACTGTGGCACAAGCTTAATCATAATATCTCGGGTTTTACGCCCTAAAACCACAATATATGATTACGAGGAACGCCATCGAGGGCTCCGAAACTGTTGAATATCTCATGTTTTTCAACGTGCACTAACATCGCACAGTACAGGGGCTTCTACCATTTCGTCCGACCACCGCGGCCGGAATCGCACCCGCGACCTTTGGGTCCGCAGCCGAGCATCACAGCCACTGTTTCACCGATGCGCACGTTGCACAAGCTTGTACGCTTGATTGAGAAATGACTGACGCGCAAATGACTGAGCTAGCGGAAAGGATTGTTGCGTTTTCAAGGATCGTTCATGTGCTCGTTCACGTGCTCGTTCTCGTCTTGCACCACAAAATGCACGAGAAAACGCTTTCAGATAAAAAAAAAATGCCAGCATATTTGAACCCATCATATACCATAAACCTGCCATATACCAAGTCGCCGAAGTTCACTGTTAATGCTTCGCATTAAAAAACAAAAAACAAAAATGTGAACAGCTGAAGCGTGGCTTTTGACTCTGTCAAACTGTGACATGCCTTGACTGTCGCTTGGCGAAACTTGCGCTTTCAGCCGTCATGATTTGCAGCGCTATAATCTCCCTCCCACTTGCGCTCATTCACATTCATGGGCTCATCTTTGATTGATTGATTGATTGATTGGTTGGTTGGTAGGTTGATTGATTGATATGTGCGGTGTAACGTTTCA